TGTGATTGTGTTTGTGATTGAGCGCCACTTTCCACAATATACGATCGCGGGCTTCGTCTTTAGGTCTCACTTTTGCACAAGATGACCTTCGAGTCTACCCCATCCCAGGTTGGACCGCTTTCATACTTTGCGACCTGACAGGACAGGAGAATCGGAGAATGCGTGCCAAGCAAAATTACATGTATTGATTTGGCGCCTTGGAAACAGAAGAATCGCGATATTTGCGTTGCAAGGTAGATAAACGCCAAAGGAGAGAAGTGGATCTGTTGGCGCTTGACGCCTGTGTTTGGAAAGCATAGGAAAATCGTGAATCGGAGAAAAAAGTCTCTAGATTCCTAGTCACTTCTCTGACGCGCATTCCCCCAAACCAACGATCCCGTTAATCTCCTATCCTTCCGAATCGCGAGATCAATACCTATATATTCAACTGGCGAGCATTCCACTACATTTCGATTTTTCTATTATCCCGCCGCAAGGTACCAGGAGATCTCATTCGCGCCAAACAATGTATCCAAAGCCAGCATTAAAAGGTCTTGAAAATGTTAAGAAGTAACTTACTTCAAATTTGGTGATGTGGGTGCGGGTCTCATAATGCAATTTGTACTTTTTATGAACGAATTTAGATCGTAGTGCAGGTTGAATCCATCGCACGTACGGCAACACTTCAAAGCGACCTCGAGTCAGGTTTAAATGAGTGCAAACACTCTGAAAAATCCACTACAGTTACACGATACTGAGCCGTATGGACTCCAAGGATTCACCCCATCACTAGCTTTCTCACAACGGGGAACCAACAAAAAATAGGAAACACTGAGAACATATCATTCGATATCTGAAAAACTGGAAATCACTCACCTCTAGAAACTTTGTGTATGACTTCAGTACCTGAGGATCGTGGCCACGGTATTCTAGTTCGATAGAGCTGTAAATAATGAAATCATAGGCTTCCCGGAGTAGCACGCATGACATTTCTTCCTGTTTTGGGCGCTGTTTGTCAACAGGGGGAGGGGGGCATGTTGCACTTAACGACTTCCCATCGACGTGTCGATCCATCTAGACAGCCTCTTCTCGAGTTGACAGGTTTTACCATGATGGCTTGACGAGCTTGCTCCAGCTTCACAAGAGTTCACAGGTTTCACCAGAGTGAGACTTGTAAACCAGAACCAGTGAAGCAACGAAAGTGCAAAATTCCCCTTCCCCGTCGACAAACTGCGCCCTCTTTTGCTCCAACGAGGCTCTTAGTTAACGACAGCGAAATGATCTCAGCCCTACGCCTTTCGTGAGGTCCACAAGAAAAGTCGGCGCAGATCGGTTTGGAAGGGTGGCATTTTGCACTTTCACTGCTTCCCTTTGTTGTGCTCCCACCCCTTCCAGCCGAACTGCGTCGAAAAATCGTATGATAATCGTTTGATTCAGGGATGTCTCGCACTTCGAACCCAAACTATCCTAACAATACTTCAGTTATTTTCAGTGCTTGCTAAGATCTAGCTGCTCCTTTTGTTGCTGACAGACGTCATGCATGAGTATTTTTCGTGGACCTGAGGAAGGACCTAGAGTCCGAAACACGGTCGAATGGTTGCAAATGTTCCTTTTGAACAAAACGGAACTATAGTTCGATTTCTTCAATTAACAGTACAGATGTGCTTCATGAATAATCCACACAAATAAAACCACAAGCAGTATTGAAGAAAAATCTAAAAAAGCCCATAAAATATGAATAAAGCAATACTTTGTTGGGCGGAACTTCATTGAATTTTACCTAACGTTTCAACTCAATCGTCGTCTTCAGAGGTCAATATTCCCATTGTTTGGGCGAGAAAGTCCGCTGCCACACTAGAGCGGTAGATAACAGAAAATCTAACATGAGTAATCCAGCTTAATTTCATCTAACTAGCGCTTTTGTATGACAACGGACTAATCATCAGCCTCTAAAGACGACTAAATCGAAACGTTAGGCCAAGGCTGTTCCAACTCATCACCTCACAAGGCACAAGACTATCGAGAGACTGTCTAGCAGAATTCTATACTGCAACAAATGGACGAGTTTTGAAAACAGAAATTCTAAAGATAGTAAAACCTAACCGAAGCATCTTCCTATAGAGAATGTTTTAGATGTAACAGTGCCG